GTGACCATCAACGATCTATTTATAGAGGCACCAGCCATCCATGTCCAGGTACTGTTTTAGCTCTCGTGGTGACCATCAACGATCTATTTATAGAGGCACCAGCCATCCATGTCCAGGTGCTGTTTTAGCTCTCGTGGTGACCATCAACGATCTATTTATAGAGGCACCAGCCATCCATGTCCAAGTGCTGTTTTAGCTCTCGTGGTGACCATCAACGATCTATTTATAGAGGCACCAGCCATCCATGTCCAGGTGCTGTTTTAGCTCTCGTGGTGACCATCAACGATCTATTTATAGAGGCACCAGCCATCCATGTCCAGGTACTGTTTTAGCTCTCGTGGTGACCATCAACGATCTATTTATAGAGGCACCAGCCATCCATGTCCAAGTGCTGTTTTAGCTCTCGTGGTGACCATCAACGATCTATTTATAGAGGCACCAGCCATCCATGTCCAGGTGCTGTTTTAGCTCTCGTGCTGACCATCAACGATCTATTTATAGAGGCACCAGCCATCCATGTCCAGGTGCTGTTTTAGTTCTCGTGCTGACCATCAACGATCTATTTATAGAGGCACCAGCCATCCATGTCCAGGTGCTGTTTTAGCTCTCGTGGCCTAGAAGTTAAAGAGGTGGCGTGAGTGGTTGGCGGGTGCTCTGGTATGGTTTGCTTCTTCTTTCCTATCAAACATCTATCGTCCTTATCTCCCCTCCTACTTTTTTATGTTTGTTACTCTCTTGTAACACCTCTAATCTTCTGGCGCTCATATGACCTTATGCAGTTGCTAGTGCCGTAAAACCTCTACTAAAACAAACAAACAAAGTGTTGGCTTCTCTTTCAAAGGTCCCGGGTTCGAATCACGGAAAAAATCCTTCTCTAAAATAGTCTCCTGTCACCTCCTTTCCTGCTCTCTAACAATGTTCTGTCGTCTGCTTTCGTCTCCTCTTTCTGCCCCCACCTCCTCACCTCCTTTGCCCCCTCCTCTGGGCTCCTGACTCTTTCTGCAGCCTTTCCACTGCTACTCCTTGGCTCCTTCTTACTGCTGTCTTTCAGCCACACCCCTGATCTTCTGGTAGGAAAGATCTACACCTAGCCTTCTCGGTCAAGGGCGAAAAATCTCGGAGGGCCCGTGTGCAAGTTGCGCACGTTAAAGATCCCTTGGTGGTCTAAAATCGATAAGAGTAGGCTTCGGCCGCCACCCGGGCAAAATTCAAAATTTCCTACCAACTGAAAATATTAGGTGTGTCCCGCGCGCTCATATGACCTTATGCAGTTGCGAGCGCCGTAAAACCCTTTACAAAAACAAATACCAGTCAAAAATGTAAAGAGACTCTCACCCGTACTCCTCCCTCCCTCTCCCCAAAGAAAGAAAATGAATGGTTGAATAAAAAATGAGTGAAAGAATGAAAGAATGAAGGATTGAATGAATGAATGAATGAATGAAATAACCTCTTTGACTCTCAGGACGACTGAGCCCTCAGTCAGTTGATGAATGAATGAATGAATGAATGAATGAATGAATGAATGAATGAATGAATGAATGAATGAAATAACCTCTTTGACTCTCAGGACGACTGGGCCCTCAATCAGTTGATGAATGGATGAATGAATGAATGAATGAATGAATGAACGGATGATTGAATGAATAAATGAATGAATGAATGAATGAATGAATGAATGAAATAACCTCTTTGCCTCTCAGGACGAATGGGCCCTGAGTCAGTTCGGTCAGCCTCTCCACTCGCCGGTTCCTCTTTTGCTCAAGATCGACGTGCCAGAGGTGAGTCTGTCTGTCTGTCTGTCTGTCTGTCTGTCTGTCTGTCTGTCTGTCTGTCTGTCTGTCTGTCTGTCTGTCTGTCTGTCTGTCTGTCTGTCCTTTTTTGCTAAAAAATGAGTTCCTGTTTATTGACACGAAGCAAATAGGTCGCATTTTCAAATGAGACACTATATGTGAGGCAGCGTGGTGGAATCAGGCTCTCGTCAATTTCGGGGCATGTAGAGTTTTTGGTATCATCTTAAAGTTTGTTTACTTGTCTTTATTTGGATGGAAAATATATCCATTTATCTTGAACACAAGTCGAGATATTTGCAAAAGAAGGAGGTGAGGGTCACCTGTTTTCAGAGGTAAAATTAGTGAGAAAATGCCCGCCAAAGATTAGTTATTTCCTTTGCTTAAGAGTCCGTGGTAACTGAAAATTGACATTTTTTGCGTGCCATTAATCAATGTTTTTCAGAACATCTACACAGAAATGAGTTCTTTAATGGGCATGAAGGGGGTTGAGTCAAAAAAATAGAATTTGATAAAAATTCACAAACCAGCGGAGAAAAGCAAGTTTCTTCACTTGGATTATTTTGACGAGAGCCTGATTCCACCACGCTGCCTCACATATACAAATAATCATTGTTTTAAGTCAAAGATCGCACAATAACCTTTTGATTGAAATTAGCGCTTATTGAATTCATCACCTATAGAATTCATAGGA